GGGGTGGAGGGTGGGGGGTGGAGGTGCAGGCTTGGGAGGGAGAAAATGACACTGTCAAGAGGTGTGGGAAGAGGGCGGGTGATGAAAACGTGGAACAGGCTTGTTAGGAGTGTTGGTGGTGGGGATGGAGGTCAGGCAAGGGTGTGGGAAGAGACGGAATCAGAACAAGCGTCTCAGCGTCCCACAGTGACTTTCTCCTGCTCTTTGCTTTTATCTAGACCTGTTTGTGGGCCAGTTGAAAAGTTGTCTCAAGTGCCAGGCCTGTGGGTATCGCTCCACGACCTTCGAGGTTTTTTGTGACCTGTCCCTGCCCATCCCCAAGGTGGGATTCCAGAGGATTCCAGGGGTGGATGGGACATGGGTTCAGTGACCCAGCCCTACCCACCCCCAGGGTGTGGGAGGGAACCCTTTGGGTCTCTGGAGAATTGAAACCTGGATTAAGAAGAGTTGGAAAAGGAAATTCAGAAGACGCTGATCTTCATTCCCCTTTCCCTCCAGAAAGGATTTGCTGGGGGCAAAGTGTCTCTGCGGGACTGTTTCAGCCTTTTCACCAAGGAGGAAGAGCTCGAGTCGGAAAACGCCCCAGTACGTGGGGCTCAAGCCTGGGGGGCTTCATATGCGTAAAAGGGGTTGCATGATGCCTTACTATGGGGAATACTTTTATGTGGGGGTTTGTGTTGGAGTCTCCGGTAAGTCCTAGCACTCGTAGGGCAAAGGGGGCCCAGAGGATACAGAAGTAATGAGAAGCATGGTAAGTTTGTATGTGTCAGGGTGTCAGAAAAGCCATTCAACATGAGGAGCACAGTAACCTAACATTAAGTGACATTTATTCAGGTATGTGACCGCTGTCGGCAGAAAACACGAAGTACCAAAAAGTTGACAGTACAGAGATTCCCCCGAATCCTCGTGCTCCGTATCCTGATCTCCAAATTCCGCCTCTCCTGTTGATTCTTCTCATTCCCCGCGTTTGCGGGGCTGGGCCTCTGGGAAGTGACTTCCTCAGGGAAGCTCCAGCTCCCCCTGCCGTCCACCGGGCGGAGCGCACGCGGGAGGGCGCGGGCCCTCGAGGCCGCCGCCTCTTCTCTATGCTCCTTAACCAGGGCTTAGATCTTAATCGGTTTTCCGCATCCCGAGGCTCCATCAAGAAAAGTTCCGTAGGTGTAGACTTCCCGCTGCAGCGACTGAGCCTAGGGGACTTTGCCAGTGACAAGGCCGGTGAGTCTGCCGGGAGCCCCGAGCGCCCGGGGGGAGGGCGTGGGCACCGCCGCTGGAACCCGCGCCTCCGCTCCGCAGGAAGCCCGGTCTACCAGCTGTACGCCCTCTGCAACCACTCGGGCAGCGTCCACTACGGCCACTACACAGCCCTGTGCCGGTGCCAGACCGGCTGGCACGTCTACAACGACTCTCGGTGAGAACAGCCTCCCGCCGGCTCCCGCCGCCCCGAGGCGAAGCCCCGGAGGGCAGAGCCTGGTGAGGCGGGGCCTCCTGACCCCGCTGCGCGCCGGCCGGGGAGGGACCGGCCGGAGCGTCACCCTCCCGCCCCTTCTCCCCAGGGTCTCCCCGGTCAGTGAGAACCAGGTGGCCTCCAGCGAGGGCTACGTGCTGTTCTACCAGCTGACGCAGGAGCCGCCCCGGGGCCTGTGACGACCCCACACCCCGGACCGTGAAACCCTTTCAACACCCTTAAGCCCCAGGCTCCCCATTTACCTCAGAGACGTCTATTTTTGTGTCTTTTTCATTGGGGAGGGGGTGGGGTGATTGTAGCTCCCATTATTTTTTTTATTAAAAAGTACCCTTCCACCTGGAGGTCCCCTTGTCTCCCGGCCCCATGTACAAAGCTCCCCAGGCCCTGCCCGTGTACAGCCCCCGGACTCTACAATCTCACTTTTTGTGAATAAATTTATTAAGAAAAACTGGTCCTTGTTTGTACTTATGCTTGGGGCGGGGTGGGAAGAATTGGATCTTCCCCGACCCGTCGAGCGGAAGGAGGGCAGGCAAACTCGAGGCGAAGGGGGC